TGACGAATCATTCTCAACTACAATATACTCAAAGCGTTCGCCTGGTTCTGGGATTTCATAAAGATAAGGCTTGGGTGTTAGATCCTTTTTTATGCGCCGTTTAGCATCTGCTTCTTCACGGATGTGTCTATCCCGCATTCGTGAAATGAAACGCTGAACACTCTTATTATTTTTATCGGACTTCCACACAGCAGTTCTAACTACTCCATTAAGATCTATTTGTGAAATATCATTTATGGTCTCTTTGAGCATATCTTCCACAATCTGATGCAAGGTGCAAGTATTATCATTATCTAGCCTCATAGATTCATCCATGACCTTCTTACCCACCTCACGAAAATGTTTAGACTGCCACTGTTTTACAATCTCAACCCCTCAAATGAAAAGCTTATTATTAAAGTTGGGCTTACTTGTATGTAAAATGCCATAGTATTTTTTCTTTTCAGTAAATACTATCAGAAATAAGACTTCCTCATATGCCATTTTGAGATAAGGGGATCCGTTATCTTCCCTGAGAAAGTTATTAACTTCGCCTCAGAGTTCGCTTATTGCCTCCATAGATATTCTCACCATCTCCTCCCAGTACTTTTCCTTCGATATCTTTCTGAAATATATTTCTCATTACACTTCCGGAAATATTCTTCTGGACAAACAAGGTATAATGAATCAGTGTCTCCATATTTTACACTGAACCCTTTACTTTTGACAAGGTCAGTAATAAGCTTGATATTTCACTGACTAGCTGATGTTACCCCACCTGCTAATGCTCGCAAGAAGAAAGAAGATTCACTATTCCTAGCTTTACCATAAAACGTATTCATATACACTTTTAAAGCGAGTTATTTTGCATCTAGACAGGCGACAATAAAGGAAACTGAAGAGTATTCAGATTTTAAAGCATCTGTAACGTCCTCGCCCTTGCTTCTGCCAAACTAATCTCCTTTTCTAATTCTTCTTTTTTATTCTTTAATGGAGCAAGACAGCTTTTTAGTGAATTACGTCTAATAAGCAACTCCTCTAATACTTTTGGATAAAGGCCTTTCATTTCGGCTTGGTTTT